CTCACTACAGCACATGTATATTCCTTCGATCAGGTTGCTGATATATTCATAAAGGCCTTCAGACGATCCCAGTTTCGGTACCTGTCTCGCAAGTTGGGCATGTGCAACCTTCATGTGTCAACTTGAGGGGAGTAATGATGTGTCTCGAATAATAACGTGTCTCGAACGCGATATTCTCTCTCGGGCAATCTCTTCATATCTCATGTATATATCCTGCATATATATTGTATATATCTTAACCTTGATTTTCGGAGACTAAGTAGAAAAATTCTGATCTTTCTATGTAAACTTACTCGCCTATATATTAGGTAATCATGTTGAATAGAAAACTCAACTCTTCTTCACAAAACCTTGCTGCAAACTTAACACAATTCTTCTATATAGTTATATAGTTTCACATATTGAGACTTGTAAAGATCATTCATTTGTTCAAGCACTATTTACGTTGCTCGTCGACACTTTATTGTGCGTCAAATTGAATTTTAATTTCTATTAACATAGTTTCTTTAATTTAATATCCACATACTTTTATTATGAAATTCTTAAATTATTTTCTATTACTAAACAATATATTAATTGACTAATGAGGATAAACATTCGAATCTTATCTTGTACATGAGCTCATCCTGCTAGGATTACATTCACATCATCAGATGATGAGTACTCATTATTGCTTAAGTAGTTACCAAGATTGGAATAATTAATGCAATCATTTTCATAGCGCCTTTGCTTAACATTATAATATGAACCATTATTTTTATCTCTTGAATCCCGACAGGTGATTTTCACACATCTCCTTTCATATATCAGAAATATACTCAGAATCCTCTCCAAACTCTTGTTTGAACTCCTTTTTTGTGAGTCTAATCTTTGTTAATTCGAAATAATCGTTTATCATTATGCAAAATTACATATACAAACTGCTCATTTTTATCACCAAACTCATAAACATCAACAAGTTGTACATCTCTAAGTTTTTTACCAAGATTTGACTTGGGGTCGACATTATTATTCTCTGCATCACAAGTCGAAACTTGAGAAACACATTTTAGATAAATGTCTCTTGAATATTGCTATCAAGAGGAATTATACTTTCATATATATATATGTATATATATCATTTATGTTCCCCTTAATATTACCCTTGCTATTAAACTCATGAAACTCATGTGTCTGATTGCATGCTTGGGCATTATAGAGATTGATCTTAATCCCTTTACTAGACTCTTACTAGGTTTAAAACATTTTTTCCTATTAACTTATCTAACGAAATTGATGTTTTTTTTTATAGATTTTAAAATTTTCTTGTTATATATTTGAGTCTCGCTTTAAAAGATACATTTATAATGAACTTTAAAGTCAATCAGAATTTCACCCATTCATGTAAAATATGATTATTGAATAAAGTATTAATTACTTAATTAAGAACTAATAATATAAGGCACTAAATAACAACTATTTCTTTTTTTTTTAGTTCATTCTTCTTATCTTTTTTATTTATATATCAATCATTCATAAGGTCTCAGATAACAATAGATGTAAGGTTCATTCATATCAATTTTATTAACATATTTTTTTCCAGAAACATGAGGTTTTATGTATGGGATCGTCAATTTTTATGACAAACCAAACAAATATGAATTGAGAAAGACAAAGTTGTCTTTGTCAAATGCATTGTAAATAGATAATGTAAGAAAAAGATGACCTACTCTATGTGCACCACTTTTTTAGGTAGATAAAGAACATAACTATTTAGTTAGAAGAAGATGAATAATGAAAAATCTTAAAACTCTTTCAGGTAGATAGAAGTTATCTAATTGATTGAAAGAGAAAATATATTTCTGTAAAAACTTTAAAACTTGTCACTTGTGTATGTAAAAGAGAGATGCTTAAAATTTTGTTAATCTCGTCTATCTTTGTTGGTCGTACTGACTTAAAATATTAAATAAAATTGAATAATGAAATTTAATTCTAGAGGTATTTTCTTTAAAAAAAGTTGAATTTTTGTTGTAAGGGGTAATATGAAGTAAGTTATTTGTGACATTGCAACACGTTAGTATTCTCTTGTCCATGTTAATTGTAATTATGGCAATAACGTAATAGGTCTGCCATGATAGACGCATAGAGTGGTAGATGCCTGAACAAGTCTTGGGTTTTGAGTGGTTTTGGCATGACTTACTGTGAATCCTGTAAGCTAGTGAGAGATAAACATAATCGGTAGGTAGGACTGTTTGATATGCCATAAGGAGAGAAATGAAAGTAGTCTTATTAGAAGACAAACTAGTAGGAGGTGATGCATCATGGTTGCCTCTTCTTAACCACAAAACTTGTAAAAAGAAAAATGCATTAAAAAATGATTGATGTATATGTTTGGTAGAACACTTTGAATAATACACCACGAATATAATTTGCCTTGTAGAAGGATAGCCTTTAGTAACATGTGCAGTGCTTAAAGTCACTCGTAAAATAATTAGTGAAACTGATTGAGAGCATTTGAACATAACCTAACTTAGTATTGTAATCCTTACTAGTTATGTAACTTAAGTGTCTTGTTAATTAGGTCCATTAAGGATGGGTAGTTGAGAAATAATATGGAAATAATGTTGGTTTAATAGCTTGATATTTCACTTGTTCATATCAAGGTTTAAAGTTACAGTCCTCCTTATGGTATCTATTGTGTTGATTGGATCAAGATGGATAAATATTTATCTAAATAATTTTTAAAAATAGAAGAAATTATTTCCAAATATCCTCCATTTTATATTTTATTACTTATTATTTATTATTCTAAAAAAGCTCTATTTTGTTCACCAACTGCCGTCCTCTGACCTGGCCCTCGCTTTCCCGCGTCAAAAAAAAAAAAAATTCTTTCCTCTCCAACAACTCCACTCTCTACCCCTTCCTATTCCTTGCTTGTATCCTTTCAATTTCCTCATGTCAATTTTCCCTCACCATCACCATGTCTCTTCTTTCTCTCCTCCTCCTCCTCCTCATCTTCTCCTCTCTCTCCATCTCCCTCTCTGCTCAATCCCCTCCCAGAGGTAAAACCACTTCACTTCTTCTCTCTCTCTCTCTCTCTCTCTATATATATATATATGTCTCTAAACGCTTTCTCAATTTCAGGTACTCTCATTGATTGCGGCGCCACACTTCCTTCCCTCATCGACGGCCGTCAATGGCTTCCAGACCAAAGCTTTATTTCGGCGGGGACTTCCAAAATCGTTACAACCACTGTCCTTTTCCCTACCTTATCCACCGTCCGTTCGTTCCCTCTGCGGAACAATCTCCGCCGTAAGTTCTGCTACGTCGTGCCGGTCTTCCGTGGGGCTAAATACATGGTCAGAACCACTTACTTCTACGGAGGGGTCAACGGCGATGTTTCGCCCCCGGTGTTCGATCAAATCGTCGACGGAACCCTCTGGAGCCTGGTCAACACTACAGAAGATTATGCCAACGGTATGTCCTCGTACTACGAAGGGATTTTTGTCCCCAAAGGAAAGACGATGAGCGTGTGCATCGCGGCTAATACTTACACAGTCTCTGACCCCTTCATTTCGTCTCTGGAATTCGTGATTCTTGGCGGTTCGCTTTACAATTCTACGGATTTCGAAAAATTTGGATTGCATTTGGTTGCCAGGCACGGTTTTGGATATAATGGACCCATTATCCGGTGAGTTCGAACTTTTGCCTTTATTTTTTTTTTTTTGGGCTTTCGTAGGTTTCTGTTTGATTTTGATTTTCAGCTCGATTTAGTTGATTTTGTGATTAGTGAATTCAGAATTTGTTGGAAGTTTTTGCGACTTTGGCGTCATTTGGCAAGTACAGTGGGAAATATCTACTTTTTCATCTTTTCCCCGAAATTTAAAGAACAAGAGAAGACCTTTTGAAACTGATTTTGGAAAATCAATCTTCTATTTTTTAAGAGTGCTTTGGTTCGGTGAAAGGAACGCTTTCTGAGAAAACTATCCTCCTGTTAAAAGATATAGTTCCTGTATTTTGTAGAAAAATCGATTTGTAAGCAAAATATTTAGTAGAACATGCTAAAAGATGTTCTTATTCGGGACAGAGGTTTAGAAATGGAGAAACTTTAGGTGACAAATAAATAATTAAGATAGTTAAGAGAAAATTAGACATCAATGTAACAAAATATAATGAGAAATAGACTGACGAAATAGGTCAGACAAGACAATTATTAGAAAGAAGAAACAAAAAGAGATAATAAGGAATAAAGTTCTGACAAAGAAATTCTTAATTCGTTATCGTCTATTCATTATTTCTTAATAGCTACTAGCATTTATATAGGCATGATCTACAACTAATAAGGATAATTATAAAAGAAAAAATCTAGAATATCTAATTCCTATAATATTTAAAATGCATAAAGGTAGGAAACTAATATTATAATGCTCTTAAAAGATTGAGGCTTTTGATAATTTTCATAAAATTGAAAGTTAACAAAAATTAAAAGGTTCCTTGGGATCATAACAAGGAAAAATGAAATCATCCAAAGAAATCCATTTAATACAGTCATCACAGGTAAGAACCATTTCAATAACAACATTAGGTTTTACATAAGTATTGAAAAGAGGAAGTTGCTCAACATGATAGCACAAACAGAAACAATTTCAAGATAAACTAATTTTTCTTGATCTGCCATTAGTTGTTCGAGTGGAACTTCCAAGTTTTTTTCTCTTCTAGTTGAGAAGAAGCGTTAGCTGAAGATCTTACTTAATTTTTTGTATTCATGTAGAATGCCCATTAATTCTTTGATATTTGCATATAGGTCGAATACATATTCAATACTGCTCTAACAACAATCTTCATATATACAATGACCGTGTAAAGAATTTTTAATGAACACAACCTTGTCATAACATTTATATTCGATACAAGCTTGTTTAAGTGGAAGTATATATCAATACTTTCTATGGATACGTAAGGACAAAAATTTGACATAACTTATCATGAGTAACCGAGTAGATTATATAATGAATTGTAACCAAAAGTTTGTCTGCTTCCATACCAAGCTGTTCCATTTAGCTTTGATATTCGCTGAAACAAGTATGATCAAAGTAAACTCAAAACAGGTAGAGCAAACTAGAAAACCTTAGGAATCACCTTGAACTAAAGAAAATCAGTCTTTATAGGACTGAAATCAAATTGGTCAAATCAGATTGTTGAAATAAGGGTGAACTAGTCAAAACAAGGTGGCAAAAGTCAAGCCCACTCAAGGTCAGGTGGCATGATTGTCACATGCCGGTCTCTAGTAACTGGTGGGGTCAAGCTTCTGGCTATGCCTTTGTCTGGTGATGAAATTCTAGATAGTTGGTGATACTTGTGATGGCAGGAGCAACAGAGATCTGGCATGGCATTGAACAAGCTGGGAGACTAAGAGTGACTGAAGTGATTTTTGGTGGTTTTTGGTCATTGGTGCTAGGTATAGGCTGGTTGATGCTGTTTGAGCCTGGTGGCTGTGGTGCTGCCAAATCACTGCTCAATAAACAGTGATAAATAGAAGGGTTATTTGGCTGTTTGGTTTCTTTTTCTGTATTCTTTGTTTTTTCTCCCAAGAGTTTTTCTGGTTGGATGTGGTGGGAGAATCCGGTGTTTCTGTTTGGAGTGTAAAGTGCAGAAGGTATGGATAGATGTTGGATTTCGATTCCAATTGATGCAGGATGAGTAGTTGTTAAATTTACTTCTTCCACAAATAGTATAGAAGTAGAAAAAATTTAATTGAAAGTAAAAGAATAAAGATAGAGTAAATTAGAGATCAATGTGAAGAAAAATATGGAGGAATAAACTGAACAAGATAGTTTAGATATAAAAATAATCAAAAGAATGAACACATAGAGAGAACATAGAATAAAACCCTAACAAAGAAATTTTTAATAATGAATCATCTGTTTCTTTTGGTAGTTACTAGTATTTATATAGGTATTAACTTACAAGTAATAAAAAGAATTATCAAAAAGAAAATTTAAAAGATCTATCTTAAGTTTTTGCAATAATTGGTCTAATTGTTTATTTGAGGATGAAAAATCTTTCTCTGGTTGTTGAACTAATGAAATGAGAAAAAGTGCTATTCTTCTAAAGTTTATGATTTTATGTTGCAAAGTGGACATGTGACCTTCTAACAATATTGAAGTTCAGTCAAAAAATAAGAAAAATAGAACTTCTGCCTTGCATTATTTTTCTTATTAGTTCTGGGTGTTTGGTGTCATCAGATACCTGATGATGAGTTTGATCGTTTTTGGGGACCATATGGAGAAAGTAATCCTTCTACAGCGAGCAATAGAAGTTTATCCATTTCTGGTTTCTGGAATCTTCCGGCTTCTAGTATATTCGATACAGCGATAAAAGCTATCCAGCCAGAATCCTTAGAGTTGAAATGGCCGCCAGTCTCCCTTCCAAACTCAATATACTATATTGCTTTGTACTTTGCAGATGATCGTGATACATTGGAAGGAGGCTCAAGGGTGCTTGATATAAGCATCAATGGTGTAACATATTACAGAAATTTGAATTTGACTACAGCAGGTGCTGTTGTCTTCGCAAGCCAGTGGCCTCTGGTTGGTCCTACAACAATAACTTTGACTCCTGCTGCCAGATCAAATATTGGTCCCCTGATCAATGGTGGAGAGATTTTCCAATTACTGCTTCTTGGTGGAAGAACTCTTACACGGGATGGTATGACCAAGGATTATCATTTTTCTTATTTAAGTAGTTGACATGATTTTATTTCAATGAGGAACTTTCTGCCTTTTTTTAGAATCCCCTGACTACTGTTATTGTTGGATGGGCTACATCCCTAATGAGCCAAAATAGGAAAAAATGTAGCTAAAGAAATAATGTGCCTACAGAGACGATGATAAAAGAAAATAAAAATTTAGTTAAATACTAATCCAATTTAATCGTCAATTTTCACTCCTATCATAAAATATGTGCCTCTTTCTTGGACTATGTCTCTTACCCAGGAAGTGGATTTAAACATAAAATAGTTTTCTTCCTCCCCAAAAAATGGCTGGGTTTTCTCACCGGTAGCTTTTCTATGAGTTTTTCTTCTCGAGTTTGATACCACTAAAATGGGAGTTAATTCTATATATATATATATGTATATATTTGTTTACAGTTAAAGCTTTGGAAGAAGTTAAAAAGAATCTTCAGAACCCTCCACTTGATTGGAATGGTGATCCTTGTTTTCCTCGAGATTATTCATGGACTGGAGTTACATGCTCCGAGGGACCCCGGGTTCGAGTGGTTACTTTGTGAGTTTGGATAATATGTGACTGATTCTGTTTAGTGCATACTTCACTTTGTAACACTTTTTTTTTCTTTGTAATCGTAATAGTGGGACTGGACCCACATACAAAGGTCCATAACAGACTATATGGCCATCTGAGCTACAGGCTTTTAAATGGTTTTGTCTTTCCTTTTCTACAGGAATTTAACAAGTATGAGCCTTTCAGGTTTGCTGTCACCTAGTATTGTGAACATGACTGCATTGATGGGCATGTAAGTACTTCAAGTTAGCTTCATATTTATGGAAATATTAGGTGATATATTTTCTTAATTGAGGTTCAAATGTTATCATAGTTGGCTGGGGAATAACAACTTGTCAGGATCCTTACCTGTTCTCGGTTCACTTAAGATGCTGGAGGCTCTGTGAGTCGAAAAACTTCCTTTATTATTATCATTATTTTCTGTATCATCTCTCTTTGAGATATGAATTATCTAATTTTTTTTTCATATGAAGCTAGTACATTAGTATCTAATTTAATTTGATAATTACATACTTCTTGGGGATTTGTATGCAAATGGGCTGGAACTTTTGAGGGAAGGGCTGGGGGTTAGCTGGGAGATACTATTGCAAGATATTTGGTTTTGCCTTACTCCAATTTAAGTGTCATTCTCCCTTTTGAAAGGCATTTGGAAGACAATCAATTCAGTGGACAGATTCCTTCATCAATAGGGGACATGCAAAGCTTGCGTGAGCTGTAAGTCTCATTCCTAAATTACAATATCCACATGTTTTAGTTCCTTATTTTTCACTGTATCAGTTCATCTGTGCACCTAATTGCATATCATTGAACTTGCACCAGAAATTTTAAAACAGCATCATCATGATGCAAGGGAAACTCACTATTTAATCAGAGGGGATTATCACTATCTGTGTCATATATACATGGCATTGGTACTTACATATTAGAGAAGCATCCATGCAAGAAAGTTAGTGTCAGCTAAATCTTGACTAAAAATTGTGAAGATTTATCTGCATATAAACTTTGGCTGGGGAAGAAAGCTAGGGTATAATAATAGATTTCTATCGTTAATTCATAATTAGGGTTGCAACAAATTTTTTGGAGCTCCTGTATATGTTTATGGTTGTAGCAATTAATTTTTTTCCTAGCTACCAACACTTTCCATTTGCTTTATTTCCTAGAATGGGAGTTCTTTATACTGGTTGCATTTTCAGTCACTCTCTAGGTGGCTGGCTGATGTGAAGTTTGTAGGTCATAAATATTGAGGCAAATTTATCGATTTTAGAATAGGCTTGAGTTTCCTTACTTCCAAAGGACTTTTCAGGAACATATCGCCAAAAAGGTCTTGTTGGTAACTGATTGAGAGGGGAAAAGTTCTTGTGACCATGTTCTCTCCCTTCATTCCCATGATCCAGAATGGAATACTGGAAATTTTGCTTCTGTAATTTAAGATCATTAAGGCAATTTTTAGCTCACTGGATGCTCAAAACAACTATGCATGAGCTTTTCCCAGTGCATTAAATATACTTGTATTATCGAATATACTGCCATATTTTTAGCAACTTTTCTTAGTGAGACTGGTCATTGCTGGAACTGATGCCCTCTTGATTTAAGCAATATATTTTGACTTTTCCATTCTGTGCATGGTAGGAGATATCCTCTTCGTCTCAGTCAATTGCACCCCGGTAGGGACCATTGATTTATTGCATTTGTGCCTCATTTTCTCGTCCAAATGGCCCTGTTTCAGTTACTTGACAAAACATTTAGATAGCTAGATTCCCTATCTCATTATCCTACAGTGTGTAAAGGAGAGCATCCATATCATACTGCAGATTGAATCTTAAATGCATCCTTTGGGTGGAATGGTGGTGTTAAATCATATGGCAAACGCATGCTTAAGGTACAACTGGAAAAATTTTATCCCTAAATTCTAGATAATTAGTCGTGTTTGGGAGAAATTCGATTGACCTTAAGTTAACACTATCAATTATGGAAAGGTTTCATGGGATGAAAGAAAGAAAGTACACTAGGGACAAGAAAAGAAGCAACACCGTTGTGCCAACCGATTTGTAAATCCATAGGTTGCTTGCCAGATTTCTTTCACCAGCCAGTTAGTTCACATTAATTTTCTTTTTTACTACAAATGCTTATACATGATATTTATGGTTGACGGGGTATATGGCTCATGATTTTGGAACTATGAAGTTAGTTGAACTAAAGTATCTTTCAGTCTCTGTTGTACTTAAATATTGTACATGATTTCCTACCTTATGTCAAGATAAGAGCAAACTTGACCAAAAAGTTGTGTTTGTTCATTGATGCATAAGTTGCTTTATGATACAACTGGCTTGTCCTGTGTTCTGTTTTATTTTTTTGAGTGTCTGATACACACAACACATACATATATATAGAAATATATATACTTCTTTCATTGGGTATGAAGTTTGGATTATAAGTTTGAATTGAACTTTGTTCATTTTTTTGATAAGTAATTTGGCTATAAATTAGCTGTTGTTCAAGGATGTCATTTGGCATCTTCTTTAAAGTTAATTTTCTATCTATTTTCATGCCTTGGGAGCAAACAAGTACTTGTTTTCACCAAAGAGTAAAATAATTTCAAAATAAATTTTATGAATAGTTTTGTAAACAACTATGGCTAAGTGTTGGACATTTTCTTCAAGTGCTTCTTTCTGTCCTTTTCTGGAGTTTGTAATGTGAAAATTTGTTTTTGCTCAATAGTTGCTTTTGTTTATCCAGATTCTTGCAAAACAATAACCTGACTGGTCCAATTCCGAGTAGCCTTATTGGAAAACCTGGACTGGACTTTAGGTAAGCAAGAAATTTGACAGTTACTTACATGTGAATCATTGCCAATAGGCTAACTCTTTCTATTTCAATATTAGGTTTTCTGGGAATCCGTTTTTGTCACCTCCACCTTCATAAGCAAGTCATTTGCATGCATCTGGAGTTTAAGGTGACTTAGCCTCATTTGCAAAGAATCAACATTTTACCATTTTTTGTACTTGTATATGAATGGAATTGAATAGTGGCTCTATTGCACTTGGAAAAGTTTGCTGCAACATGTTGGCTCTCCCTTGTTATTTGGTGCAATTTGGAGGCTGTGCAATTGTATACCTGGAGTTGTTTATACGGAGTCTGTCTGACTCTTTTATTTACTCTTAGTATTATCAGATCATACTGTAAAATTGGGCGTCATGAGAGTTCATTGCTTAGCTATTCTTTTTGTAATTAATAGAAGCATTCCGTGCTTGTTATCCTTGAAACAAAATGAATATAATTGTGAATGTGATCAATATAATTCTTTATGTGACTCAACTCTCTGGCAAATAGAAGTTTAGTGATAGTGTCCCTTTTGCTTCTATAATACAGGTTATCTGTGTTGACCAAATAACACTTTTTTTTTTTTATTAACTAGGAATACTCTACATTGCTATGATGATTTGTCGATCTAAGATGTGTTATTCCTGCTAATAAGACTGATTTTGGTAGGTTCCTTTAACTTTTGAAATTCAAATTGAATGGCTGTTTGATCTTATGTACTGAGATCTAATATTTGTTTTCAGATGGTACTTGAAAATAGAAAAATAATGAACTACTAGATTGAAGTCCCTTTGTTTTCATTCTGACCCAAAAAGCATGGAAAGAGGTAGTACCGTAGACGTTAGGGTCACAGTGAGCCAGCAGGCTCCCGAGTACAAGAAATTGGACTCTTGATTGTTACTGAAGATTGCGCTTGAGTGACTGGAGACAAAAGCTCATTGATCTTTTGACAATTATAAGCAAACAAAACCATTATAGCCTTTGTGCAGGTCCTCTTTTACCAAAAACATTTCAGGCATTCATTAAAGTTATAAGACCATTTATCAGACTCCTTTAGCAGAACCTCCCATGTAGGACCCCACGGTTTACAGGCCCTGCATATTTGCATGTGGCATCACTGATCTATTACTAATTTCTATCCACTAGAGCCATTGAATTTGTGAAAGGAAATTGTGGATGATCCAATAAGAAAAAATTAAAAAAAAAAAAAAAAAAAAAAGAAGAAAGAAGAAAGTATTGTGTTAATCCCATTCAATAAATTAAAAAAAGTCAGCATTTACATTGTAATACATCAGATCCAAGCATAATCAACATTAATCTAAACATAAAAGCTGAGAAAAATCTCAAGCTGAAATGAAATAAAACAATGAAGGATATTGGACATTCTAGATCAGATTGAGCTACCATTTTCTAGTCTTTTACCTCTCCAATCTTCCTTTCTTGAGGGGAAACAGAGGTGGTAATGCAGGGCTCTTCATTTGTGTGCAAATTGGAACATTAACCATTGGCCTTATTCTAATGCTAGCTGATCTAGTTCTCTCCAAACCTTTCTTTATCCTCTTCACATGTTTCTCTCTATTCCCAGAACCGTTCTTCCCTTCCTCTGCATTAACCGCATCAGCCAGCGAGCTCGAAGAAGATGATGTGGAAGAAGAAGAAGAAGATGGTGACAAAGAAGAGGCACGTTGCTTCTTCAACCTTAGCAACTCTTTCCATAAAACAGTACACTTCGGAGGCCTTGGAGATGGGTCCTCATCAACAAACCAATTTACTCTATTCTCCTCCTTGCTAATCCCTTCCTTTTCTTCTTCCACTTCTTCTTCTTCTTCTTCTTCTCCTTCAGCATCTTTTGTCTTGAGACTGATTTTCTTGAGCTTCTCCGAGTGCTGCATTTGCCAAAAGGGAAGGAGCTTCCCCTCAAAGAAAAGTTCATCTGCAGTTAGCATGGTGTGGCTACTCACACTGGTTGACAGGAACTCAAATTCTGCATTTCTTGACTTTTCTCTCTCCATTTCTAAATCAATCATGCCGTCTGGAGAGTGTGGAGTAATTGAGATGAAGTCGTTGTCGTCGAGGAACTCAGCAGAGAAAGATATGCGAGGACTGGATGGTGAGTCGATGGTTTTAGAAGTTGGTTGGAGGGTTTCCGGAGAGGCCATTTTTGGCTGTGAAGAAGAGGGTTAGTTTGTGAAGTTTGCGTTGTGTATATGAAGATTTGTGGGTTATAAAGGGAAGAAGGGTTAGACCAGGTTTGTCTTGTTATTGCCAGTAAATGTTTTTAATTTAAGGGTGAGATTATAAAAACAAAGTGGTCTGGTGTAGTAGAAACAAGTGAGCTAAGTTGGTGTTTAGAATAAAGGAACAGCACATGGACACCTTAGGAAGTAGAAAACAAAAAGGCATTTTTACCTAAGTTTTGCATGCAAATTATTTATAAAGCCTCTCATTATTGTAATATTTGCCTTTTCTAAATCCCAATCCTCCCAAAATAAAATAAAAAATAAAAAGAAGAACAACTAAGATGGTTATATTTCCTCTACTTTTTGCCAAGGCATATATAGCTTTACAATTTTTAAGCCAGAAAAGCTTGATTAATTTACTTTTAAAAAAAAAAATAGTCAATAGAGATGAGTTTTGACTCTTATGTTATTGCATTTGCTTGCAAGATGATAAACATGGGAAGAGTCCTACACGTGTATGCACATGAGTGTAATTTGTACCCATGTGAACCCTTAATCAAAGAGATATATATAATAAATATTTTATTTTGGTCAAAAATATCCTTTGAAAAGTGCTGGCTTTTGTGGGTGTTCCCTCTTAAACTATGAGCTTATTTGTCATCCAAAAAAGAAAACCAAAATGAAGCAGCAGCTACCATGTTAGCCTTTTCAAAAGCTTCCATTAAAGATTTGGACATCTCTAACTAAATCCAGACAGCTCATAAACATTGGGAAAATCTTTAGGGTATTATATAATCATATAATATCATCATGTATACGCAGACATATGCACCGATTACTAAGTGGTCCTTGTTTGTCCTTAATCATAATTGAAGGAGATAATAATACTACTACAGTCTAATATAATACTCTACTCAACATGTGACAAACAACCCAGATCAGCATTAATTTCCCACATTGAGAAAGTGAAAACTTGATCAAGTGGAAGTTTTACCCTTTGCTTTCAGATTTCCAATTTAACAGACAGCTTGCTTGCTTGCTTGCTCAACTAGGACCAGTAAGGCGGCAGAAACTTTAGATATAAAATTCTTCTTTTGTGATTACGTGTACAAGATGATAATCACTATCCAATTGAAAGCACTAGTAGCAGTACATATCCATACATGATAAAGATAAGGACTCTCCACATTTCTAATAGGCCCTCGCAAGAAATTTTTGACTAGTTTGGATCGTTTTCTGTAAGAAAAGTGAAGGAATTGATGTGCATACATATACATGTATGTATGTATATATACTTGAACAAAATGGCTTGTAGGACTATGGAACATGGAATTGGAGGGAAAAAAGTCATCTCGATGGGTGACATGTATGGACAATGTTATGTTGCTTCTTAGAGTTAAACATAGAAGATGAAAGTGATTGAACACAAATTATTGCCCATCTAATCCTAGAAGTCAGTCATAAAAGATGCTTGGAAAATTATTACGTCCCTGAGATATCTTCACTTTGTAGCATTGAATTTGACTCCAAAATTATTGACAAGATTTATATTTTTATGAAATTTCACTAAAAATTAGCCACCAACACTTTGAGAGGAAAATAAAGAATGTATCAAAACTAATAGAAAAGTGTACTCTTAGGTTTGCAGATTATAAAAAAAAAAAAATAAAAAATAAAAAAAAATTAGATTAAAGATTGAGAAAAGATAAAAGAAATCAGTCCGAGTGCACCACAAAAATATAAATCTATCATTGGGTTGAATAAAATAAATTTCCAAGCATTAATGAATTCGAGATTGGGTGAGATGAAGCTAATACGACAAATTTATCAACTACTTTTGTAGATTAAACTAATATGAAAAATTGATTAGTAATTAACTAGACTCGAATATGAGAGTAATCAAATGTAACCTTAGGTCCGGTTTTGGGCACTTTTAGTTTTGACCTTTACATTTTAAAAATATTTTTTTAACTATATGTGTGAAATAAAAAGTATTTTTTAAAAAAATTAAAATTAAAATATGCTTTTAATAGATATAAAATAAAAATATGTAGATAATTTGAAATTTTTAGAAGATAGTTTTGCTTTTTAATAAAAATTTACAATTCAAAATTCAAAAGTCATTTTCGGCTGAGCATATTGTTTCTGATTTTTATAAATAAAATGAGAATATTTTTTATAATTATTTTTAACTAAAAATACCTTAACAAACAATTATTTTAATAATATTTTAAAAATCACAATACAAATTCTACCCATCTCAAACAAACAATCACTTAATTATGTTACAATTTTGATCAATTGACTGATTCCTTTCTACTAAAATTAAAAGCTAATCCCATTTAAATTTAATATGTTTTTGAAGAATTATGACTTTAGCATCTAATAAGTTTAGTTAAGAAATAGTGGAATTCATATTAAAAAAATAAAGAATTAAAATCATATAGAATTTACTAAGATCCATTTTAAATTCATTTATGCCAAACATAAATAATATCTTAATAATACTCAAAGCCTAGTGAAAATGGCAATCAAATGAATAAAATTCAAAGTGCATTTGTAATAAATAAAATGAATAATCTAAACCAAGCACTTCACTCTTAATGAAGTAATTTTGCAATAAATAAAATTTAATTATCCTATTGAATTAAAATATATGATGATATACATACATACATACATGGGTATGGTCATTTAAGTTTTTTTTCAATATGAAAAGTTTAAACCACCACAGGAGAAAGTAGGTTTGTGAAAAGTCTTGGATGGGTATGGGGAATTGAGGAAAGACTCAACTTTGTAATTATAATGAGATGGAGATTTAATTTATTAGTCTGGTTTTACGCAAAACCCACCTCTTATAATATATGCTTTCTCATGCTGCTACCATTATTTATTTATTTAACACCTTAATGTACATTTTAAATTAATCACTATTTATGGCACTTTTACGTACACTTAATTTCAACATAAATTGTATTTTAACTGACTCAATATTTATGTCAGATAATACGTATTTCAAATATTAACATTACACGTATAAAAAAAAAAATATATATATATATATATATGTCCAAATAAAAAATAAAATAAAACCATGACTCCAAAAGAAAAAGAAAAAAGCTTCACCCACAATTGACTAATTTGGATTAAGATATCAAAATTATAATTAATTTGATAAAGTTAAAAGAGTAAACCTGAAAATTAATTATGCGTACATGTCAGAGAGGATCTGCATGCAAGAATCAGAGATTTGCTAACAGTACTCGTAAACCTCCTCTCTACTAATCTTTTCAACTTTCAATCTCCTTCTCCGGCGGTAACTGCTTGCCCTTGGCTACAGCCTCCGCCTTGATGACGGTATTCAGGTCGACGCTGCGGAGGACGATGGTTTCATCGTCTTGGAGATCAAGGATGACTTTGACAAACTCGTGAGTGGAGTTAGATTCTTTGCCGTATGACGTCCCATAGCTCAAGATGGATGCCCCCACCGTAGCCAATGGCTGAGGCAACATTAGTGCCTCTTTAACCCCTTCTCCCATAATCGTAGCCTTCCCACTCACACCAGGTGCTCTCCACAGCGCAGTCTTCGTCTCAGCATCCAATTACAAGTCACGCACTATGCTAACTCTCTCATTCTGTTTTAACAGTTGTCAGATTCTTCTTCGAATTCATTATCATATTTAGCTTCTTCCAAGTCTCCAAACTTCCTCGAACGAACAAATTTTTTTTTTTTCTGGTGTTTCAGGTTGTAAAGAGGGAAGTTGAATGATTTAGATCGAAACGATGTCGTGTGGTTGTTGGGCTTAGGAATTACGTTGGGTTAAAAACTAAATGAGGTGGATCGTGGAATGAAACGGTTTATGTTGGGTTTCAAGAGGCTGAAAAACAAAAAGGTGATGTGGGTTTGAAGTTATGTTTTTGGATATATTTTATTGAATTTTTGGCAACTTACTAATTTAGTCCTCAAAATTTTAGATCATTTGAAAATTTAGTTACCAAATGTATTTTATATTTCCAAGTAGTCTTGGAATTTTAACAAAAAAAAAGAAAATCCATATGTTTTGTTTGGAAAAAAAAATCATTTTTATGGTAAAAATCATCATCATCCAATTCATCACAAAAATATATTTTACCTTAAAAAGTCACAGTAAAAAATCCAAATCATCATAAAAGAATCGTAAAAAATATGGGTAATTTAAATTAGATCAAAGCTACAACTTCTTCTTTTATTTCTTTTACATAGTAAAATAAAAAATTATTTGAAAATAAATTATCCGCTTTATACTTGGAATATAAAAGAAAAAAAAAAGAGAGAAGTTAATGAAAATATAACTAAGAGAGAAATGGTCAACCAATCTATGTCTCCTTCCTCCCACCTCTCTCTCTCTCTCTCTCTTTATATCTATTTGTTCTCATCACTTTTTCTCTCTTCCTTCCCTGCTATCATTATGGGATCAACCTTAATAACCTTAAAATCTTGACCATGATAGGAGGTGCAAGTATGATGGTTTCCTTTGTCAACCTTGAATTGGTAGATCTTGATGGTGAATTTATTTGAAATGAAGATATGGATTGGACTCCTCTAAATTCGCTTCATTTGAAAGGTGGATAATGCTAAACACTTTGAGGATGAACATTGGACCCTTCTAGACTATTAATGGAGGATGCAGTAGGGATGAAAATCTTGTTAGCTAGGTTATTTAAGGTAATCGTAACACTTTTTTTGTGAACACGACTTAAGGTTATTACCCCTGCGACTAGCGATAGCAAAAAATTGGTCTTTGTACGAGTTGGTGCGAATGATATTAGTTAATAATTAATTTCTTTTCTACTAATAAGTTAATTAGTTACTACATCAGTTGTTTATAAGTTCACTCCATGATTAGTTTTGGTAATATATCTATAAATAGCTATTATGCATTTATTA